TGCTCAGTTATCTGAGATCCAAAGGCCTCCCATAAATGTCGCTTGGAACCAGATCGTGCTTGCCATGCGTGAAGGGTATGACTGGCTTTGTCAGTAATTGCGTCAGAGCCCACCTCCTATCATTTCAACTTGTTGTCAACATGCGAACAAGGAGTGCGTGGGAGATGCGAGTCACTAAGCTCCACCTACAGTCTGCTTTGCCGCAAACAGTTTCTCGTGCTGAAGGCCTGGCTGTCGATTCCGCGGGCCAAGGAAATCCTTCAGACCGCCAGCCGCGTTCTCGCACCATTTGAAGTTGAAATTGCACAGAGACCGCAGGTGATCATTGGGAGCTAGGTTATAAAGTCAAAAGACCCACCGCCACAAACTTCCGGTTCAGCAAAATGATACCTTATATAATTTATCAGTTGTTCTCTTTCCTCTCGAAAACATTGGGCAATAATTTTTCGTTTTGTCGTCTTTGCATGCGAGATTCAGATAATTTATTGCGTGGTACAACTATAATAGGAGCCTTGTCTGGCAACAAATCAACTTGTTTGCCAAATGTTGTATTTAGAGAGAATCCGGTTACTCAAAAAGGACTTGGAGAATGCATTTTGTGCCCAATGCAACGGTTAAGTATTACCCAGCAAATACGTCATGCCCACCCTCTTAAATTGACTCATAGTATTTTAGTTTGTGTTTTCCTTTTATGCTGAAAAACAGGTGAATTTTTTATAGTGTACGTATACCAGAAGGCCTTTCTTATATAAAACCAGCCTCCTTTTCTCTATTTTAGTTAATAGGAAAGAGCTAGTTACCCGGAAAGCACATAAAAAATAAATTAGGAAAGAACCTTCTCGATGTGATACACGCATTGGATACCAGTAAGAAAAGGTGCGATCATCAAATGCCAGTTAATCACGTGATAAGTTAGATGCCTACTCAAAGCCAGGATGTCACAGTGTAGGAAAGTACTTCACTCCCAACCCAGCTTGGGTAACTTAAATGCCCATTTGAAGGTTTGTCAGGAATGTCAGCTAAAAGTTCATGGGTTCCGGCGCATATTACAAGGAGTTTGCACCGGGATAATAGTTTTCGTGTAACAACCCGGGGTATTCTGTGTGTAAGGGACAAACGGTGCATGTCTTCTCCCAATACTTATCAACGGATTTGGGTGCTTAAATGCTATCTTATATGTATATTCACTAATTTAGGGAATGCAAACGTCTCAGAAGACCATGACCCTCAAAGCCTGGCGTGCGTTGGCAGTTCTCTAGGCCCTGGTTCCCCGCCGGTAGGAGCGCTTGCACTGCCGCTGGATATACAGGTCATGCGCATAGTCGCCCAGTCACCCCTGTCTTTCTGACCCGTTGTGGTGCTGTTGTTGGATAAAATCCTGATCAAGTGTTTTTCGTGGACCAGAGGGTGTGGTGGCACACCTAGGTGCGAGTCCGGCCGTGCCAGCCACCTGCGTCTCTCCTACCTCTGTTCTTCTTGACTCCGTCTTAACACCGGGCCTAGGAGGTGAGGGGGAGAGAGAGCAATTAAGGCCTCGTAGGTCACCGTGCCTGCTTCACCTTGATTTGGAGCACACGGTGTACATCGTCGGTTGCGACAATCAAACTGTCGTATATTCACTAATGAACTATTTGAATTAAGCAACATTCACGCACATGTGCTGGGCAAATTCCCCGCTTCTCATCCACGATTATGAACAGGGAGGATATCCGTGCGCCCATAGACACAACCAAATAATCACCATAAACTGGACCCACGTTAGGAATGCTTTCGAAACGAAACTTACATTTATTTCAGATATCATTTCTTCGTTTAGCCAGTCCAGGAAAAGTGCGAAATACTGCGACAAGCCAGGGGCACATGAAACTCCCCCCTGTGTCGGGGCCTTTCGCTACTTTACAGTCGTCGAAGTTATGGTTAGGGCTGGCGTAAGGAGTATCTTTTAGGTCAGGGTTGAGGTTAGAGTTTAAGCTTAGAGTCAGGAGTATGTTTGCGATGAAAGTTTATCTTAAATTTAGCGTCGAGGTTAAGGTCTGCTCTAGGGATAGCGTCAGGCTTAGGATTCAGTAATAGTAACCCCTCCTGGTATTTTGCGTAGGGCCAACTTCACTACCGGGGAGGGGTTTTAGGGGTTAAGACGATCGGTAATGCGATTCCACGATAACAAATGGTCGATACAGGCCAAGCAAAACGGCCATGCTAGAACAGACGTAGCTGTCAATGCCGCCCAGTAAAGGACAAATAAAATGTGCGAATGGTCAGTTAGTGGTATTGAAACTCACACCGGTTGGAGTGTACCACCTAGCAGTTAATACAGAGCAACTTAAACAAACGCGGGTAAATGTGACTTTAGAGAATGACTAATAAATCGAATAGCCATACAAAGTTGTGCAAAAATAAAAATTAATAAAAGGCTACCACTAGTCTTCTATCCCTATTTCTTACCAAATCTACATTTATCAAGAGAGGTGCAGAATATTGGATGTCTTTCCAAATGGCATGTGTAGGGGTTGCTGTGTGTGCTCGTTGGATTGTCAAAAAACCATTATATGGGAATTCTTCGAGATTGGGTGTGGCTAATACCTACACTGCGAGAATCTGCATTATGTTGAACTTAGGGCGGACGGAAAGACCGCCTGTCGAGAATAGCGTATTTAGGAGTCTATTGAACACTATGGGCTGAATTATACCACATATGTCGTCGAAAGGAATGACTAGGTGAACCTGCTGCGTATGACGATGGAAGAAGTACCTTATATTTATTATGACCCTATTCAAAAATTTTAACTTCATCTTTTTTATGGAGGAATCAAAGATGATTGATAAATGCAGGTGCGAAGGAAAAAATACCAGAGCGTTTGTTTGTTGTCCAGTCCGTCTTGACGACGTAGTTTTATCCCCGCCGACATGAAATAACTGAATGCATCTTATCTCAAACACATTGTCTTCCAGGGGTTTACTACTGCCGATTCACGCCAGAAACTTCAGTAAAGAAAGAATTTGTGCTCGTTTATCTCCATCCCTAGTACGTTTGCTATTAGAATAAGACCGAATTTTGGATCAACGATTGGCCATTCAAAATGATGTGTGATAATGGAAACAGGACCTCTTCTTACCTGAAGTTTTGGTGTTGTGTTCCAACCCCTAACCTTAATTTATAGCAGTAGTAATAACATATAGGATTATTTGAAGACCGTCTTACTGAGCAAATAGGTATTTCCAGAATTCGAGACAGTCAAAGCCTATTAGAGCATGTGTCTGTGAGAAAGAACAGACTCGGGAGTACTGAAAATTGGACATCTTTGCTTTCAGGAAGCTGCAGAAATGTATCTGGCTAATGCTTATATGAGTGATTCCGAGGCAACCAAGGAAAATCGCTTACTGCAAAAATGAGCGAATTTATTCTGCTCCTGATTATCAGGGCAGGTACAGTGCCCACGCTGATTGTTGTATAGTCTGTCAAATCCCTCTCGCGCGCTCGAGCACTTCTGCCAGCAGTCGAGGTTCATCCTAGGTGTCCAGTGATAGTCACTCTCAATGCGCAACATTAAGGAGCACTTTGAGTTTAAATGTCTTTTTGATTGGCACTTTGACCTTGCATATTAAGTAACTCGTTAAAGACATACTCGGACGGTAAATCACACCATTCTGATCGCAGATCAAACCGCAACTGTTTTAATCATATCAAAGATATGTTACCTTGAAAATATTCTCACTTTCAACGGAGATCTGTACTACTTGTACATATGTTTCATTAACACGCACCATTGCAAGACGAGACGGTTTGGTCCAATTGACCGTTTGACTGTTTAGCGACATGCCCACAGTCACTTCGAGCACTTAAAGGTAGACTATAATACACTTGTCAAATTAAAAAATCGTAAAACAGCATAGCCGCGAATGTGGCAGCTATGCAGACTTTGGCCGAACGTTTTCCGGTGCATTTATCAGAGTGGGCATATTCATCAATTTTCAGCTTTTTTATGAAATCAGTGTTCGTTCATAGAATCTGTGCTCACAATCGTATGTGCATTTAATGATTTATAGAAAAGAATGACCTTGCGAAATTCGAAATTACATTAGCCCCGCCTGTGAAAAACTCACAGCCACGCACAGCCAAAGCTCAAACCACCTAAGTTACGAGGCCCCACAGGGAGCCATGAGTTTAATTGCATTGAGTCTAGTCGCCCGCCCTGACTACTGCAACGTACTGAATCCACCAATTCTGATGCAGTAAACTGATTGCTCAAACAAGATTTTCTAATTAGTCGAATAAGAGTCCACTAGATGACTACTCACGGCTTCCAGTAAGGTCTCGTAGATCAGATGGTTAGAGCGTTGGCTGAACTCAAGCCTTTTCCCTGCGGCCATGTGCCCGAATCGCACCGAGGCCGTCGAATTTTTCACAATTTGGTCAGATGGATTATTCAAATCTGCCAACTCACTAGGTAATCCGTCATCTGATAAAAAAATATGGATTAAGTCGAAGACGTCTGTTTGTTTTGCGACAAAATACGACAACTTTTCTTACTTTTACTCTACGCATGCCTCTGAAACTGCTAAAGTGGCTGAGAATGGTAGACAATGAGGTTAAGAATATTCGCGGCCCACAAATATCAGCAAGCAAAAACAGGCTAACCATGCGAAAAGGCATTGCCCAGTTCAGTTGGTCCTGTGTTAAATTTCAAAGGTGCATAGAGTTGGCGCTTGAGGTTAAAATCGCCGTTATGATCAGGATTCGGACACGGATATACGCATTCCATTGTATTATAGCTATTCTTCACTGTTCAACTGCCTATATGCTTCCTAAAGCATAGATATTTTTCAAGGTAAAAAGACAATTTTAATATTTACCATTGCATTTTATTTCAAAGCAAATCGTCACATTTAAAATCATACCTAATGTGTCTTTAAAGCAAATGTCTTTGCAAAAATATCATTCCCTCTAAAAAAAATGCAAAGTATAATCAGAATGACACCTAACTCTGACATGCTGCCAGTCACAAGTGCTCCTGCGAGCAGTACAGTCGGGCATAGGGTGTTGTATCGAATGGTTGTGGATTGTACGTTCGTTGCAAGAGATGGAGTTCTAGACAATCGTAAGCCTCGGGATAATAGTCCTCGTGAAATTTGTTCGCAACAAGCTCCTGCGCCGTCTCCAAACTTGAAAGGCTCATGGATCCGAGGATACAAATCCCACGTCGAGTTTTCGTGGGACAGTTCTTACCGAACCACTTCTTGTAGCGGATGAGATGGTGAAGGCGGCTTTCGTCCACGCCCTCGTCATCCGGCTCATGAACACGTAAGCAGGCTCCAGGCGCGCCGAGCTGGGGATTGTAGACGAGCGTAGCAAAGAACTGCTCGTCCGGACATTTGTAGTAGGCGTGAGTTTCGAGGGCTTTTCTAATTTCAGTGGCCTTCGAATCATAAAGCATGAATTCCACAAACTCCCTCTTCAGCGCTGCATGTACTCCCCCTTTAACCCACGTAACCTGTCGACAATTAAACACAAGTGAATTTATAATCAAGGGAAAGTTACGCTGGAGTCATGTCCCTGCCGTCCTGAGCATCGACAGTAGAATGCAGGTTTATAAGTAATAATTATTTTAATGAAAAATAATTGGAAAATAGGGATCAAACATATATGGTGTAACTGTCATAGGCAGATATAGCCGAATATAGCGGAGGAAAATATGATTATCAGCTTCTGTCAATTGAAACTTTTATTTTCTGACACAACGATTCCCAGATGAACGTGTCAAAGAGGTTATTTGATGTCCCTTTAGCCATTCCATGGGTAATAAGAAAGTAGAGTTCCGTCTACTTGCTTAAGCGGCACGCACCGATAAAAATTACTTACGCACTGTGTAGTACAAAAACTACCAGTGATGTAACGACGACGATCTCTCAATGCGGAAAATCAAAATGAGTTTATGGAGTGCTCTGCTGTCTGTCACTGGCCATTGATTCCTAAGTTCTAAAGTCGAATCAGGGAAGAGGAGTGTAAGAAAATTACGTTTATAAAGTAAAAGATCCGTTTACTACTGAGTTTAAGCCCCCTCAGTATTTCCAGCCCCGCGACTGTGTCAGGACATTTGTGAATATAACGAGTCGACGTTGTATAACTTTCAACCTTTCAGAGATTATGGCCTGCATTAGAATCCTGGGTGTCAAGTAAACTATGCTTTATCAATTTTTGATTTTTATTCGTAGCTGTTGTTCCACGGTAATCGACCAGGACCTTAGCTGTCTATAGAGGCAGTTTTGACTTGTACATGTATCCACTTATATTGAAGGAGACTTGAGCGACACTTGTTGGCCACTGGGCAAGCACGAAACAGACTTTAACTTCAATGAGCCCCCGACAGTGGAGTTTGGCAAGACGACCGAATTAAGAGTGAACAGTCACAGCATAAACCCCAGTCTAGAAGAAAGCAAAGCGGCACTCTGGCTAGGGCAGACGTAATGACTCGGCAAGATCTCATTTCGTAGTCGTGCCTGTTAGGGGTTAGGGTTAGGAGTTGGGGTTAGGGGATGGGGGATGGGGTTAGGGGATGGGGTTAGGGGATGGGGTTAGGGGTTGGGGTTAGGGGCTAGGGGCTAGGAGTTAGGATCTAGGGTTAAGGGTCAAGCTGGGGCTTGTGTACAGCAGGTTCGGCTACAAAATGAGATCCGACCGATGAGTCTTAGTCACCACAATCAAGCAAATAGGCTATCAGAAAAGTGGACAGCACGCACTTTATGGACCACCAATACCCCGAAATATCATCAACAGCTTTGCATTACTAGCTGGCAACTACCAATGATTTAGTCACGGTGAAGAAACAAGGGTTTCTGTTGGTGACGCAGGTTAATACGTTCAAAAACACGACCGCTGTGGATAGTGTGTTCAACGAGGGTCGGCCGAAATGAAAGTCATTCAGGGCTCATACCTGACTTAGCTTTTTGCCCTTTGTTCCGAAGCCTTTCATTGGCCTCATAGACGCTCAAAAGAAAGGCGCGTATCAACCATTTTTTTCTCTTCTTACTAGCAGGAACTGTAAGAATATTGAAGTAAATCAGTTAACTGTCAGAGAGGCTTTCAGCATGTTTCACAGTACCACCTAATGATTCTAATCGCGCGCCAAAAACTGCCTCCGCAGTTCAGGCAATAAATCAGCGTTTTCGTGGCGCATCAACCACTGCTGAAAACAGAGTCTGCTGCTGCTGTGAAGTCTCCACTCGGCGCATTAGTCGAAATTAACAACCTTGGATATCTAGTGTGCACATACGTCATCTGCCCCTCCCAGGCAGGCAAGTCACAGTACAATTCACGTGCTTCCCGTGGCGTTCAAATATCTGGGTGTAATCTCATTAAATTATCAAGCTCCCGCTGACCAGGTGTCATGATGGCACAGTTGTTCAGGTCGACATCACGCTTGTGGAGAAACGTGCCCGCAAGCCAGCGAACCTCTAAAAGAGCATAAACCCCTTCTTTTGGTGTTTTTCGGCCTCTTCATCAGACTGCGATTTGACTTAATTTTGGGATGATTAAGATGCCCTCATTACGCAGATGATGGGCTACCGACAAAGACAAGCGAGGCTGTCGGCAGTCAGGTGTGACTTGGGAAACCAGAAGTTCAAATCTGTGTTCTTTGCTTATTAGACGTTAGTAGTGCCGGCGCTCTAATCGGTGAGCTACAGGCTCGATGCCCTCTCGGCAGTGATTGGTCGACGACCACTCGCCGATCATTCCGTTCCCTAGACGTAAAAAGTAATGCAGACCTGTAGTAAGTGGCTTAGAGCATGGAAAGTCAACCGAAGTTCTGGAATGTTTTTTCAACTAGGAAAACTGTGATATTTACTAGCATGCAGCATAACTCCAAGATACTTCAGTCACAGGAGAATGCCGGCTTTTGGACGCGTCTCCTTTCACCGTGTACAAAGCGCACTCGATAGTAATGGCTATTTAGGTGATATGAACTTCTGCCTTTATTTTCCGCTCATTTTGTAACATGTTTATAGAGACCCTACAGAAGAATATGCTTCTTTGTTTTAAAAGGTTTTCTAACCGTGAAAGATGGATATATGGTTTTATTTGAACGTGTACTATAGACGCAAAACAAAACTGCAACCGCAGATTAACTTCAAATCTATTCCGGAATTTAAAACAGAAATTTTATAAATAAACGGTAACCTGTCCTTGAGTATAACGTCTGCTCATGCTTTCTAAATCATACACTTGAATTTATGAGGAAAAAATCACATCCTTTTACTAGGTCTTTTTACTGAGTTTTTATTTTTCCAAGCGATCTAAAGGCAGCGCTTTCAAGGCCAGCATTCTAGAATGGTTGAAATTTCTTGCGAATTAGCTGAATGATGGTTCATGCCGCAAACCCACTTTTTAATCAAATACGCATCTCAGTATTTGTCTTAACGATTCATGCAATACGTCACCTATCGTGGTTTTTCTTGCGGGAATGGACTAAAAAGAGACCTCGAAACATCTCCATTTTGGGATTTATGACATCTTCAAACTCTCTTAAGAGCTTACCCCTGCCTCTGGCAACAGACACTGCATGTGCTAACAGATCTAACGCATGACTGGATTATGAGCTCCATTAGATTTCAAATCAACTTGACAGACAACGCCAGCGGCAACTTGCAAAATTCTGACTATGGCCAAATTAGGTGGTAAGGCCTCCTTTTTGATCATAAACATTTCGGCCACGAATAATTTATGCCCTCTTGGCCATATTTTTTCCCGGCATCAAAAATTCCTCTCTGATTCGGCGCATCGCAAAGCGTTCAATAGCTGCCAGAAGTATTCTCTTTCTTGATGTGAAGACAGACCGTCAGTCTTTGGCAAGTTCATCCACTTCCCCTCAGTTCAGACAGTCATTTGAAAGTACCTGTGAAGTAATGATAAAACATACAATTTCCCGTGGATGTCAGTGTCAGCAGAAGCTACCTTTCGGGGCATCCAAGACTCATTAACGATGGAAAGTCCAGAAATTGACTACCAGTGACTGCCATTCTCACCGTTGTGTATTTTGTCCTGTGTGTTGTGTGTGACGATATGACTGCAGGCAACTTCTGTGCGCCGGCCTCTATCGAAACAACCCAGCGAGAGCCATTCTAGTGGGCTGTTCAATATTTTAGATCGTACCTTACTAAACGTCGAGCCTGAATCCAGATCCACCCCCAAGCACTTGCGAAGCTGGCATGGAGGCATAGTTAGCTTTAGGCAAAAAACATGGGTCAATATATTAGTCTTTGCTTACATCATTGGCGATACTTTTGCATTACTGATCATCTGATGCTACACGGCTGTCATTGTGACATGGGATTAGGAACTCCTCTCGGTAATGTAGGTGTCCTTGCGCCAATTTTCAGAAAGGATACCTATACACGTATCTTAACCCTACTACTAACCGCAGCCTAAACGTCAACTCTAATCGCACCCCCGAACTTAAACTCAACCTTCATCTTAATCTCAACATTAATCTCCTCAAAATTAACCCAAGGTCAAATGCGCTACGGTGGCTTGCTATTCGCATGTCCCGCCGCGACCGTCTGCCAGGGTTCAAGGTCGGAGTCCCAAACTCCAAGCGAAAATCCTGCATTCCACTGCAAAATCGGGTTCTGTCATTAAACGCCATTTCTAAATATTTTACTTCTTCATTTTGAGATTCTAGAACCGAAAACGAGTTGCGGCAAGATCTGGATCTCTCTGCCTCGGCATGCGTCAGTATCGGGTCAGTAGTTAACACGAAATATACAAAGAAACGAGGTAATATGACCTTGATGCTCATGAAGTTGGCCCGTTTTCTAAACGGCGACAGTATCAGCCAAGTGGCGCACTGTCTTTTGCTCCTTAAATTATAAACTAGCATGAAAAAAACAGAGCGACCACCCCAATGATTCATGTTATCTCTGAGGGCCAAAAGTTTCTCAGTATATTTATTTATTGTTTCATAATGAAGTTGATGGACTGATTAAATTGCTAGGCCTTACCGAACACGCTGACGACCGATTGTACATTCGTCTTGGAAAGTAAATTTGAGTTCATTCAGGGTCATGGAGAGTAGTCAATGGCTTGTTTGTGTACCAACTGTGCGTAAAGTAATGGCATATAATGTACTTATGGTTATGAAAGCAAGGTTTTTGAATATGAATCATGTGAAATGTTGTTTTAATGTATAACAGGGTAAGCTACGTGGGCTTGATCTGATAAGACGTCCAAAATAATTTAGTGAATTGAATTTAAATACTTTTGTCCTCCAAATAGTTTTCTTTATGGACGAGAACATTTTCGACATGTTATACTGACAGAGGTGACGAAACAAGTATCCCCGCTTCTAATTTCGCCGTAGTAAGACGGAGAAATGGCGTTCATCGGAACACTTTTATGGGAGGTCTGACGTTTCGAGTTGTTATTTCGCCCTCCCATCTTCAAAGATTCCAACGTCATGCACGGCGGCATAGTTTTAGCCATGAATTCCTTAAACCCAAGCCAAAAAGCCCAGATGTTAAGTCCGGTTCAGCTAGCCTATAAGCTAAATGTTCTGCCATTTCGTTCAGGCGTTTTTAGTTCGTCAGCTATGATCTGGAGCGCTGTCAGACTTGTGAGAATACTGTTTTGTGGGAGCAATTTAGACATTGGTTCTGAAAAAGGCTGTCCTAATACCAGGAGAAATGCCGAAATCTTGCTTTCCTTTTTCTATTTTTCAACGGTTTAGAAATGGACATTATCTTGAAATAGCTGCTGACTACGTTTAACTGGCCTTTATGTGCCCATTGGTGTAGGATATAAGCTACGATCATAAAACTCGCGAGAGCGAAATTTTGGAGTATGCAAGCCTCGTTCCTAAGACATTTCTAGTCCCTCGTCTGTAAAGGGTTGCATCCAGTAGCAGGGTCCGTTATAGGCTTTCGCGGTCGCACTACGAATCCGGGGCTTGGTTGTGTCGTTCGGAATTCAAATCTAGTTGCAGAACTCGCTGCCAGACCACTGAACCTCGCTATCGATCGTATTGTACCGGTCAGTTGGAATTCTTCATTTACGGTAGGCGTCACCTTTGTAGAGCCACGGGCTCGCGTGAGAAATGTCTCTCGGGAAGGTGTATTGAAATGTGTGTTAGCATCTACTGTGCAAAGTATGTGCAAGTTGAGGACCAGTGGCAGATATGCAGCCCAGAAAGGACGATTTTGGGCCCTATTACCTTAACAGGCATCTCCAGACACATTCAGGCAGGCAATTAACTTTTCTTCAAGTTTAGTTATTGAAGAGAATATACTTATCTGAAAGGTGCACCATGCAGATATATTACTCTAAGGGCTGTATGGTTGTTCACATTTTGTAGAGGAAGAATTAGACATGTAACTATTTAAAGACGCCAAAACACAGCGCGTGAACTGTAAAAGACGTTACACAGGCGGAATCATAAAAGTGCCCTTGACCTACCGGAAAAGACAATTCGACCTTTGGTACTCGCCTTTGATTGCGATGCCTGATAGTTCCCTCGACCAAATTCGAACCATTTAGGGCCCTCAGAGCCAATACCAGCTCCAAATTAGTTCTCAGCGGCAATTCTTGACCCGTCAGGTTGATGAAATACTTCCATCGTCCCATTTGCAGCAGTTTTCTCGCTGAAATTAATTCCAGCTCAAGGACGGTAAAGGTGAACCAAAGCACGTTCACACTCTCTTCTCGTGGCACGACGTGAACATTTTCACCAAAACACTTTTGCACCTCCACGACGGCCTGATAGAACTCGTCGCTGGATTTACGGTCCACATGGAAGACGTAGAAATTTTGTGGTCGATAAATTATTCTCAGGAGTCGGGCGACCTGGTTTATATCCTTAAAGACCGCGATCGCAAAGCCGATCGTAAATTCCTTCTCTATATCCAAGATTGACGCTGACTGAAAGTCCATCTGCCTCTTAAATGCAGTGCAGGTTTCTCCTCCATTATCATTAAAGGTTAGGAAGTAATCAAGTGGATATTTTCTGACAAAAGTTCTATTTTCGTTGTGCAAGTTTGGGGCAGAATTCAGGAGGGATTGACACCGAACATAATTTGCAGTTAATTCAGGTGAGGT